AAGACACTGACGTGGCTAAGACATTGGAACATTAAATATTTGCTATTGATTCCACTTGAGTATAGTTCATCTGCTCCGGTGTTTTAGCCACACTGGTGTCTTAGCCACGCCATCAGGATATACATTTGTACAATAAGCAGAATCAATAGCAAATATTTAATGACTCAATGTCTTAGCCACACTGGTGTCTTAGCCACATCAATGTCTTAGCCATGCCATTAGAATATACCTTTGTACAATTACATTCCAATGCTTTAATACCTGATAATTGGCTACAATATTACAGCTAAGACTTTGAGGTAGAAAAGTGGTACTATAGGGCAATTCCAACCTTATATTTGCAAGGTCTTATGCCTTAGTGGTATAGCGCGCTGCGGTTACTTTCGGGCTGCGGGTTCAATTCCCACTTGTGCCATTTTTTGGGCTTTTCGGAAATTCTTCAGCGTGTCTTAGCCGCTCTTGGGCGCTTCTGGGTGGCTAGTCCAGTGTAACTTAATAAGTTCCCGTGTCTGGGCCGCCGAACTGAAACTCTTGCTTGCATGCCACCAATTCAGCCGAGACACTATACAAGACTTTCTCAGAGCTTCATGGTATACCTGTTGAGTTCAGAGTGGTTCTCGTGCAGATTGGTAGTAACTGGGGGGCTCCTCTGACAGGCTTGTGTCGAATTGGCGTCTATGGTACCGTCGACAGGGCGATTGCTACTAGTTCCACAGTTTTATAAGAGACGTGTAGTACTATTAGTAGGCTAGAGCCAGTTCTAGGTCTTCTCCGAGCTTGCTATGAAGCGGCCTGTCCCGGGTAAGACAATATACCAATATACCAACAGTCGTCGGGGAGTTCTCAATGCAATAATCGTGTGCTTTGTCGGGGATACCGCCTGGACGGGCTGCGGGTCCCATACGCGTGTCAGGCGCAGAACAATTGGGTGCGGCAGACCCGGGCCTGACGAAGACCGACGGCGCTTGCTTGCTTGTTTCGTATCCGCGTGAGTACGCAGCGACACGGACGGCTGCAAGCCCGCCAACGCGTTTGGGTGTTCGCTGACCAAACGGCGATGTGCTCGAATGCGTGGGAAAGCGAGCGAATGAGGAGTGTCGTGTGCCTTCCTTAATTTACTTGCGGGCACAACTGCCTTGTAATCAAGGCGTACTCGGCCTACCTGACGACCTGGGCGGACACCTGCGCTTCGACACCTTCCCCCCCTCCCCCAGCCGTGCAAGTCCTTTATCCTACGCCTGCAGTGAGGGAAATCAGGATAACTGGGCGACCGGGGTCCGGCGACGTGAAGATATCGCCACTGGCCCTTCATGGCTGTTCAATGTGGACTCAGGCGACACGAGGTCTAAGCAGGGTACGCTTGTAGCACCCCCTACGACACCGGCTTCCCTGCGATGAATGCTGCGCTCGAGCCTGTGAGTGTAACAGCGACAATACTCGCTCTCTCCGGTCGCAGGTCGATGGCTTCTCGAAGACATCACCCAGACGGTTCCGTCCATTATGGCGAGCATCGATGTCGGGCCAGCGACGGGATGAAGACAATCTAAGGTTAACAGACTTAGGGCTCAGGTGCGCACATATATCTCCGCTATCAGTCATCTGCTGTCAGAGTTCCTTTGGATGCCGCACTGAACCCCACAATCGCTTGCTCATACGTAGCCCGCTGGCACCGTTGCCAGGGTACGCTCTTTTGAGGCAATTACTATCATTGATGAAGCAATCGAAGACGCGCAGCACGGGCGCAACAAGACGCTGTTGCTTGTATTTACGAGAGCACATATGGCATGATCTGGTGGATTGGCCGCGCTAGGCTCCGCGATTCGACTCGTTTCAAATGGTCATGGAACATGGACAAAATATAGACCTTCCAAGCATTTGTTTCCATTACAAAACGACGGCTCTCCCTTTCATGTAGCTTCTCCTGAAAACCTGATCGCCTCTGCGCATGTCCCTTGCAGAAACGATCTTGCTCTTCTCACTCGCTCCGCAGTTTTTTAGAGCAGTCGTGCTACAATAAATAATGTCAGTCAGAGGTCAATGGCGTGAACAGAAGACTTATTGGCAGTGGTAAACACCCAGCTTGTTCCCTCGAAGCACGACCCACACGAAGCGTGGCTCAGCGCGACGGTGTGAATATTGCGTAGTAGCTCCCGATGCGGCTGCATTAGCAGACGAGGGTCCGGCGAACAAATCCGCGCTGATAGACGGGGTCCTGGCTGTAGACAGGGGTGCTGGAGTAGACGAGGACACGCTCGCGTTCCAGTGGACCTTCTTCGCAGACACCGATGGTGAGGCACGAGGGGATGCCAGGTCGTGTTCCAGGCTCAGATACTCGACTTCTCGCCAAAGCTCGTCTTCAGATGATGTAGACGTGGGTGAGGACATTGACGTTGACGTTGTGCTCAAGCGATCAGAACCTTCAGCCTTGTTAGCGCCACCAGCAGAATCGCCCTTCGCAGCAGCGTTCTCGCGTACGGCGGGGCGCGCATCTGCCATTGCACGATTACCCCGACTGCTAGAAGTCGCCGCCGCCAGCCTCGCAACTATCGCTTCCATACGCCGAGCCATAAACCGGTTGTCTCGAGGGCGAGAAGATATGTGACCATAGGTAAATAGACTAGCAGAAGAGAGGGGGGTAGCGGCATTGCCATCTTTTCCATCTTTGTTAACAGATATAGTGGCCAAGGACGATAGCATAGGCATAGTGCTGTCAGCCGGTAAGCTGTTGTTCATCTCAGAGCAGGGGATCGTCAATGGCACCGATTTTTATCAACATGCCTGGCGACCATGATCATACGACAAGGGCATTGAGTTGCTCCAGCGCTGTACATGTCTTGGTCGATGCTGCCAGACGTGTTTCGCTGTTCGGTTTTGCCAGCTTCCGCGCATGAGTTCGGCCGAGTTCATGATCATCATCTTGGTCGCGGTGCATGAGAAGATCTGGGTAGAGCTCCGAGTACATATGCCGAGTGTACTTCCGTCAATGGGCACTCCAAAGACGCCCAAACACGCTCACGTGACGAGGCTATGTACAACGCGCTCACGTACGGTGCGTAAGAAGCGCCTCCTGACAGATACTGGCCTGGACACTGTCTTGGGCCCTGACAGCTTTGGTACCTTGGTGGCAGCACCTGCAACCTCCCGGAATACCACAATCATGCTCTGCGTCATCTTGCGCAACACTGGCGAGGTCTGTAGCGAATTCCCCCCTGGCCATCTTCAACTCAAGGCCTGACTGTCTTCCGCGAGTGCCATAACAGCCCCCAGGCAACAGTGGAGTCGCTCTCTCCAACGGCTGGTCGAGCAAACAGAAGTGCGACATCGGGCCGTAAATTGCCTACTTTTGAAAGAGCATGAATTCTCGCGTACAGAGAAATAGATGAATACAAGCTATGATTAATTGTCACTAGTCTGCGGCCTATCCAGGCAAATGCCTGTCAAGAAATGAGCTGAGAGCGTTGTTGATGGTTGACTCTTCCTTCAGTAAAAGTCCACTCTGTAAGACCGCATCAGAAGAAAGAGTGAAGCAACCTCGACAGATAGCCTCGGAGAAATGGGCTGTGCTGCAGTAACTACAGGCCGTTCCAATACATACAGAGGACTGCAGCAAAGCTTCAATACAACGGAACTCTTTGGCTGGGTCAGATAGAACGGCAAATTTGTAGTTGTCCCACGCAGAATGCCAGGTGAAGGCACATTCACTTGGGTGGGGACATCCTGAAGCAGTGAGATGGGGAGGTTTTGCTGTAAGCACGAATACTCTGCATTCTTCCACTTCGACTCTGAGGCTCAAGACGTCGTGTAGGAGGGATCCGAGAGCGGTATATTCTCGTGCTGTGAAATCCCCGGCCCGACGTGATAGCAGGTTTCTAGCTGCGCTAGCAGCCCATTTCCTGGACAGATGCGTGGCTATGGCACATGCTAGTCGAAGGCGTGAGGCGTCATCAAGTTCTAGATGGACGTCAAGTTGCTCTGTGGCAAATGTGATGCCCGATGGAACGCGAAAGCGATGGGATAGCTCCAGCAGTGCGATTAACCCATCCACCGTGTACTCGGTAGGCGTCTCACTGGCAACGAAGCAGTTAGTTGATGCCTTAGTCGTACTCTTGTAATTCTCCTTACTGATTGTCGCCAATAAGAAACTGCACAAGCCAATCGAACTCTCGCACCGATATTCCAGTGAGTATGATGGGCCTGACTTGATATCAACCAGCGAATTGAGGCTGCTGCGAGGCAGGCCACATTTCGCTGAATACCCCAGAGCGGCGAACAAGGAGTGCAACAGGAAGCTTCCACAGCTTATCATCAACCTGTGGCAAGAATTACTCTAATTCATTCTCGCAGAATGAAGAAGTGGCGTACTTGAATATACACTGCAGGTACTGAGCACTCATTGCTGAGCCGATTGGCGATGTATACCGCGAAGTACGAGAGAAGCAGCGAGATCATTGCAATAGTCGTAGAGTCGTAGGTGTGAATTGTCCGGGCGAGGCGAAGGAATAGTCGTTGCTTTCGCAAATTTAACGCTCTTTGGAGGAATGAGGACACCGCAGTGATGTCTTGAGTCACTCGGGATTATGACTAGGGGAGTGGGGCCCTCGAGATAAGAGAGGAGCGCGGGTGGCCGAGGTCCCGGAGATGCATCGGGACGGGTAGAGGTAGCTTCTCCCCCGCTCGAAAATGTCCAGGGTCGCCGTCACTCAACTCGATTGCCACAACGCTTCTTCCGCACTGCCAGAAACGAGTAATTTCCGCTGCGCGTTCGACATACCGACCACAAAGAAACGTGGTGCTCCGCAGTCTACTCCCGCTGAAGTTATGGCGAAAGCACGTTGGCAGCAGCGACAAGAAGCCAAGGTGCAGTATCAGCATCAGTCAGTGGATTTGTCCAGGAGTGTTAATTCCTGGGATGCGCCGCACACTTTTCAAAGGAAACAAAGCTACTTAACCCCGGTAAGTGTCTGTAGTTTGGCAGGGACGCACTCTTTTTTCAGAAAAAGCCAGCCAAGGCTCCGGCAATCATCCTGCTACCCTCAGCGAGAAGCAGAAATGCATGACATAGGAGAAGAAGATTGGGTATACGAAGGACAACATGGAAAAGCTCACGGAATGCCAAGAGGACCAGAGGTTCGGCCCCCACAAAACGCTTCGATCAATTGCTTCCACGACAGCCAGGCGTCGCTGGAGAAGACTGAGGCACGCATTTCTGATCTCTCATTCCTCGCACATCGCCTTGATGGCTAATTGCCCCGTAGTTGCAGGCACTTCACCAGTGGACGGGGATGTATATCCTCATGGGATGTATGCGAGGCGATTAGGGTGACTTCATGGTTCTTCACACATAGACAAGTAATGTTGACTATATGCCCGATGCGAAGAAGTCTGCTGCCCAGGATCTCTTGGACATGAAGACTATCAGCAACTTGATTCTCAGTGCCCTTCGTGAGTATCCTCTCTATCGTGCCGCGCCTTCATCTCTGGTGTGCTACAGAGGAGGCGGCAAAGCCATATTCTACTAATAATATGAATTACGAAAACTTCAGCACTGGCCGCTTTCAGTTTCCAGGTGCTCGGCAAGTTTAACGTCTTTATTTCGCCCATGTCATACAGCATGGGCGAAGTCAAGACGTTGTACAATGCTTGGAACTCTGACCATACCCACTTCCGGCGGCTTTTCCGTGACGTGCTCAGACGTCACGAGATGGAGAGCTTTGCTTGATCCCTTGGAAGTCCCTGCTACCGCCGCCGCCGTTGGCACTTCTCGTATCTATGAGACTGCATTCCCAGTCGCGGACGCCCCTGAGCGACTCACGAAGAATCCCCGCAAAGATAAGGGTACTCAGCACGGCCCTAATGTAAGGACTAAGAACTGGATGGCGGTACAGGCGGGGGCATAGGCAGAGGCATAGGACTAGTAGAATCAATTTTGAATATACTATTCGGCTTGACAAGCACAGGTAATGCTGGCTAGTGAGGGTGCGGTAGTATATATAGCGCATAAGTGGCAACATAGCATTTGTGGGACCCACTTTTGAGATGGGAGTAGCTAGCCATGGCTTACTAGGCGTAGTGCTCCGTGTGTTCGCGAACGATGGTGCTGAAGACCTCGACGAGCTGCAGCCAGAAGGCTGAGAGTAAAACAGTTCGCGATGTTACAGTCGCTATGAGATATCCACAAGCGTCGAGCGCCATCAATCTCGCATAGCAGTCTCAGAAGCCTGCATCCACACCTAGAGGTGACGAGCATCTACTATAGCAGCCAGCGTCGTCTCTAACCTTCCAAGTTTGCTGACAGAGCAGTCATTTTGAGCCTTCATGAAACTTGCAGTTCTGTCGAGCGCAGCTTGGCTTCAGACACAGCTTCTTCAAAGCGGCTGGGAACAGAGTCACTCGAGCGTAGCCACTGCGCACCAGCGAGTCCGGGATGCTTAGCAGCTCCACGATCTTGGGGGTCATGGTATGTCGACCAGGGCGTACTTCTGTACCGGCAGCACAGGCTTTCCCAGGCGAGCGGAGAGCGCGTACGGGATGATGTAGCTATGCGAGCGTAGGGTCAGAGGGGCGGGAACGCTGGGTAGGTAGACTGAACCGGCCCATGTCAAGCTTTAAGGCGTTCACGTGGCGTGTCGTCCAACGGTCGTCGCGACAAACTTCCACCAGCTACAGATCTGTCAACAAATACTTTGTCAGATACTCGCGCTGTCTGCATGCGGCACCGTGTACCAATGTTGCAGACAACTCCGCTCTTGGCCATATGGATGTCGATCAGTGTCACTCCCCAGTGTGATACTGAACCTGCAGGCCGGGATACGACTTGATTGGATTACGGTGCTCTCATGCACGCCCTTCACGAACCTATCCTTGGCCGTCGCGCACCTCTCAGGCGTGGACAGCAGGCAATGCTGAATCACGCTGGTCTAGTCAACGTAGCGCGTCTCCATGGTTGACCGAAAGCCTGGCATGTCGACTTCCGGGATCATTGTTTGGGCCTAGGAGAACAACGGCGTGCCGCCGTTCCGTGCACCTTCTTGCAATTTACAGTAGAACGGAATCAGTACGGCTAGAGGATATTGTGAACGATCAACCTTGCTATATCATCAGCGCACTTGGACCCGAAAAGGGCTCAGTCGAAGAGACCAGCTGGTGCGAGACGAATGTCGAGGGCGCGCGCGAATACTTTCCCCGCGAGTGCGCATACTCGTTTTACAGCATCGTACAATGCTTGACATCATTGGGGGCTTTACTGCAATCACAGGCCTCTCCAGGACCGCTTGGGGAGACCAGTCATAGGGCGAGACGCAAACTGGTGCTCTGAGGCCAGAATCTTTCATAACGATTCCTGCTCACCAGGAGGACCTCGTCCAACAAGCCAACGAGTGGGACAAAGGTGTGGCGTGGGCCGTGTAGAACTGCGTGACTCGACCCTTGTACCGCGGTATCCATGCACATGGAGTGTACCGATCCGCGCGCACCAGTACTTGGCCTGTTCCTCAACAGTGTGCAGGTCCAGATCGCGCAGTGTACCGGCGTGACCTCCGATGGACACAGGTCCAGAAAAAGGCATACTGGGGACATCAACGAGGCCCAAAGTGTACCGCAGACGGCCAGCGGCAGGATGAAGGGGTGTCCTTCACCGCAGAGACCTACCGTCCGAACATCCGAGCAAGTCGAGAGGGAACTCGGATGGGCCATAATCACGGTTGCGACTGCGATTTGCAAAAGGCCGTGCATGCAGAATGATCATGAACGTGTACTAAAACATGAATCTGCATAAAACTTTGGCATAACTAGCTTGGCAGTGATCGCTTGCCTGATCTTCTCCACCATTTCCTTGACTATGGACGCGTGGGAGACGTCCTTCAGAGCGAACGAGACATCGAAGGTTTCTTATATCCGGAAGGCCAAACGGGAGGCGAGGAGCGAATGGCAACCTGCGTCGAAGAAATCCAAAGGCCGGAGGACGGGCGCGCAACCGAGAAGAACCTCCATGATTCTGCAGAGCCGCCCCTTGGGCTCACCCGAGCCGTCCTCTTTCACGTCATCAACCAGCACAGTATTGGCATTGGCAACGGCACGAGCTTGGAGCTAGGAACGATCAACCTTGCTACTAGGCGCCAGAAGAAGAGTCATGCATACGAGACGGGACACCATAACCGATAGAAGAAGCTCGCGCAGCAACCTGAGGAGCTGTAGTGAGACGGAATGAGACTGCGAGGCCGATGTTGGCGCGGCAGTGATATCGTGCGCAATAAGTAGATCATCTTTGATCTGGTCAACATCCATCCCTCCGACGAAATGGCAATTGTCTGTCCTGGCACCATCTCAAAGCGCCGCCCTATAGATGGGGAAATAGACATGCAAGGGGGTGCGCGTGGGGGCGGTGATACTAGGTGACACCGTGATCGAGCCCGTCGAACCCAAGCTCATCGAAGGCCTCGGCAGTCTCTTTCGGCCTCTTCAGGTACCCCGAACGCCGCGAAAATAGCCTGCCGCCGGGCACCACACCCTGTTCGCAGATGAGAGGGGTGATCAACACAAGAAGAACATGCACCAAAGCCAAAGCTTCCTCGCTACCAGTGTCGACGAACAGCTTTGTGAAGGCATATATCGGTGCGACAACAGCTCAGGCGTTCTCGCCATGGGCGCTAAAAGCCTCGAAGCCTTTCTCGTGTTCCTTGAGAATGAATGCTCTCGACTTCCTCGATGGATTTTGCACCGGACGTGTTGGAGAGATGTGAGCGACGGAGGTCCTTGCCCGTAACGTCGTGATCCGCGTCAATTTTCAGGGTGCTCACGCGACCCGTCGCCGCGACGAACTTCAGACCTGCCAACAAATACTGTCAGATACTCGTACCGTCCGCAAGCAGCGAGCCGCGTACCAATGTTGCGGACAACTCCACCCTTGACCATAGGGGGCGTTGATCAGTGGCATTCCCCAGTGTGATCCTAAACCGCAGGCCAGGGTACGGCTGGATCGGACAGTTGTACAGCGTCGACAAGCTACGGTGCTCGTGCGTGCCCTTCACGAACCCATTCTTGGCTGGCAGTGCCAGATCACGCCCATCCAGCCAGTGTAACCCGTCTCCATGGTCGACCCGGAAGCCCGGTATGTCAGCCTCCGGGGTCAACTGAGGCCTAGAAATACACGGTCGCCTGTGAGCATGTAAATGCACGATCTGCTGTCATTTAGCGCACCTTGCAATTTGCGCTAGAATAAAAGCTCTTCGTCCCCCGTGCTACCAACACTGGAGGATCAGTTCCGAACTGGTACCTTTCGGAGTACGGCTAGAAAAAATTGTATTGCGTTAGACTCTCACATACCCGTGGACATGAGTGACCAACCTTGCTATCTCCTGCATTGTGATCACCGCGAAAGAAGCCTCGCAGAGCATTCGACTTCGCCATCGAGGTAATATCTTTCTGCGCTCTGTACTAGCCGATCGGCACAAGTAAAGATCTTCTGCTGGAAGTGCGCTGAGAAGCCGTTCGTAGTAAATGGCAAAGTCGGAACCGAGCAGGGCCTAGTCGACAATAAGATCTTGCCAAAGACGTTCATCCGGAGCGGCTCGTCGACGGTGACCCCACACCGATTCGTCTGCTCCGCGGGCAGCTTCGCCATCAGCTCGCGCGTCACCTGGCGGAGCGTGTTGCTGGCGGTCCAGACGACGACGCTCTTCTCCTTGAACTCCTTGACCGCCGTCCTGGTCATGACGTCAATCTTGGCCGCCTTGAAGGTGCTTTCAGTGTAGTCGATCAGCTGCTTGCTGAGCGTGGGTAGCACGGATGGCAGCGTCTCGACAAGCGTAATTTTGGTGCTGTCCGCCAGCTCGGGTATCACGGGCGCAGGCCATCTTCGAGGAAGTCATGGAGCTCGCCACTCAAGAAAGCGTTTCGCCACTCAAGAAAGTGTTAGCGACGACCTACAGAAGTGTCAAAACAAAATCGTGCAGGAAATCTGGTGCGCGCACCATGTGCAGAAGACGATCAACCTCCTCCTCGCTCTGCCCAGGGAACACAGCAGATTCAACACAGTCGAGGAGATGGCGTCACATCTGAAGTGGAGATGAGCATGCCAGCAGCCACCACAGTTGAGCGACACACCTTCTCCGTGTCATCAAGTTCTTTCATGGAGCACGGGCCTCCTCGTACTCTGGGGACGTTGAACGTCTGCATTCGGCGCCGACGGCGTACACAAGGTAGTCATACTAGACAAGACCCTGGACCTTAGAGGTGTCTATAAACATTGTTAATAATCTGCCTAAAGTGCGCTTTGAAGTTACTTGCCCGCGAAGGTAACAGTCTGGTTGAGGGGGTCGGATGGGATCGACATCGGCTGCAGACGTTTCAATGATCGTCGCCTGACAGATCATGCGGCGCGCCACGTAACGCATAGCTGGCAGCAAGGCGGTGATGGGCAGAAATAGCCGATGCACGTCAGGCGGACATACGCTGAATAATGGGGCGGGGACTGAGCGTTCCAGTAACGATACTGGAGAGAAGCGGGGGTGAACAGAAAGTAGTTGCGCGGGCTGATAATGAATTGAGTGTATGCTCAGGCATCGTGCGCGAAAGGAGAAGTGATTACGACATACGATATTGCAGTCCTCCGCATCATGCGAGCTCAGCAAGCTGATCGCGCTCCAGCCGCTTCCAAGAATGACGAGATTCTTCTTGCCGAGGATCATGGGGTAGCTGGGGGTCAGGCGGGCAGTCCTTGCGCGCAATGTAGTAGGGGACGACAGTGAAGAGAGTAACGCGGCCGGTAGTCTGTAGGACGCGCGTCAAGCACTTGACGGTTGACGGCGTCGAAGTCGTTCGCTAAGATGAGCGTGAGGAACATTCCCCTTGCCCCACTTCCGTGTCATAACTGTCAACATTCGCTCGCGCACCGAAGGCTGGCAATGGGAAGTAGAATTCGTAGTCAAATCGTCCAGGACAGCGAATAGCAGAATCGATCGCATCCGGGCGGTTCGTCGCGCCGATGACAACCAGTTAGCCGCGGCCGTCTATGCCGTCCATGAGTGCGAGGAGCGTCCAACACGATAGACGCATGGATCTGATCCTGCTTCGACGAACGCACAGCATCCAAAGCGCACTTCATAAAGCGCTCGGACTTACGCTTCGGTTCAGTGAGGATAGGGTCAAGACGACACTCGAGAGTCTGGGTACGCTGGTCGGCCTCTTGCTGCATAGCCAGCTCTGCCGCGGTGGGCTGACGCAGCTTGAGGGGAGGTGCAACCGGCAGCTCCTCCAACATACGCTTCTTGCGCTTCATGCCGTCCAGGAAGTGGTTTGGCAGCCGCAAGACGTCCTTGACAAGCTTCTCAAAGGACTCCACCCTCCGTTCAACAGACGGCTTCGCCAAAGCGACTCGGTCATCTTATGCCAGGACAGAACCAAGCTTTGGTGCCCCTCGGCAGGGAGGCGAATGGACCGTCAATGACAGCGAACAACTTCTGTTGTCTAAATTTATACCTCGTCAGCAAGAACTGAAGAAGACTTTGAATGTTACTCACCCGTGTCAAGTCACCGAGGAAGTTGCCGAGATCAGCAAGATCCTCTCATAGCCGTGCAGCAGGTATTTGTGTGCATCTAACAAGCTGAGCGCAAACCCTTCTATCGGTGCGTCGACTTCGTCCGGAAAGTGGTGCTTTTCTGCTTGCGACGAGTCGACCGTTCGGTGCTGAATCGAGCAAGACTTTGGGTGTGACAGCTTTTCAGGTGATGCAGAGCCGCTGCGGCCACATACGCTTGGCCCATCCTAGCAATACGACACGCGGACGGCACACTCGCAGCATCTCCATAGCTGAAGCATACTATCAGCTCAGTTGCCAATAGCACGAGGCTAGACCACGAACACTGTAGCATGAGTTCCTGTTTGAGGGCGCCTTCCAGGCTCTCCTCGTCTTCGTACTCGGTTTCTTCCAGAACTGTCCGCTTCTTACTGACAGAAAGTACGTCGTTGCTGACTGACTTGACTCTGTCTAGCGCATTTTGCAGAATCAGGGCGAGTTGCTCGGGGAAAGTGTGTGTCGTACGTGCGGTCGCCCTGACTGACGACGGCACGGGTTCTGAGATATAGGCGACCAATGAGAGAGCGTTCAGGCCAACCCAGGTAGATCTACGTACTCTTGGTAAAAACCATGAAGTCACGAAGCCCATGAGCGCGAGGAGCGCCAACACAACGGACGCATGGACCTGATCCTGCTACCACGAGCACATAGACGCAAGCTCGTCGACTTCGTCGAATAAGATGATGCTTGGCTGCGAGTTCCTAATTTTCTCGGACAGCAGTCGTGATTGGCGTTCGGCTTCACCGGTCGATTTGGCAGGCAGCCTGCACCCCTGCACATGAAGAATGCTACGGTAAGTCGATCAGACAGGCATTACAGAGCAGTAGGGTAAACGTACACTCACCATTGATCCATAGCCAACTGCCGATGCGCACTCGAGGAGCATTTTGCAAGCTCCAAGAGGTCCATGGAATAAGACGCCACGAAGGGTAGTGAGAGCGAAGATCATGTTGAGTCACGGCGAGAGCATCTGCATTTGCATGAGCAACGTATCACGCTGCAATATCGACACGCACCAACATCTCCAACCTCGCCAAGGTTGGACGAGAGCTCGCACTACAGCGCCAGAGCGCAAGACACACCGCAAATCAGACAGCTTCAAACGGCTGTAGATAAGGCCGCTGCTACGGGGCAGGTCGTCGTCGTCGTCGCTCGATGTGATGAGCTGTTGCGTTTCTTCCGGGTGCGTAGCCGATGCCGCGGTGTGTCGTCATCGTCGTCTTCTTCTTCTGCCGTCCTACCGTTCGTCGTCGTCATTAGCGTGTGGATCGTCTATCAAGTTGAGCTTGTTGCCGTCGTCTTTTGGGTCTTCAGAGTCGGACGGCCTGAGTGGGGACCGACCGAACCGTGATAACTTCGAGACCGTTCCCCATGCCCAAGGCCTGCCCAAGCTGGGCGCAGCCTTGAGTGTCACTCGAAATCCCGTGGAGCTGCTTTGAAGCAGCGCTTTTGGGCACGATAGACGGGGATGAGAGTGAATAAACATATCCCTGCGCATCTCATTCTGGTTGCTCCCCATGCCCAAAGCTTGCCCGAGCTGAGCGCAGCATTGAGTGTCGCCCGAAGACCCGTGGAGCTGCTTTGAGGCAGCGCTTTTGGGCACAAGAGACGGGGTGCAGATGATGAGCCGGAACAAGTCGCAGGCGCCTAAGCATCTTTTGTACATTTTTGGAAGAGCATCGGTCGATGTGCGCCGCTGCCGCTGCCGCTGCAACATTAGCTCGCCGTCGGCTGGTCTGAGCTAGAAGAATCAAGCATTGCAGGTAGTGTTTATTGACTTTGGATACGAGTCGCCTCGCTGACTGTGACATGCCTAAGGATGAGGCCTAGGCTGGATAGCCAGAATGTCATGAATATTACGCATTCCGGATGGTTCTCCCGGATTCCATAGCATTCTTTTACTTTCTATACACCTCCGTATATTCGTAAGATATTCTAGGTATTGAGTCTGACATGTATATAAGGAGCTCACACTGCTCAATAACAAGCCAGACTCGAGCTGGTCTTTACTCACTCACATTCCTCTCGTCTGTCTCCTCAGCATTGTCGTAGCTCAGTCCAGCTGGATTGTTAGTTGCTGACATTAGCTCGAGTCTCCACCAACTGCCCTACGACGATCCTCGTCACTCTCACACCAACCATCACCCATCTCCACACGACGATCCCCCATACCCGTCCGTTCGAACTCTATCCCCAATCCTAACCCTATCGAATTCTACCGCATCAAGACCCGGACCCCTGGAACCCTTCTCCGTGCATTTGCGCGTTTTTACCACATCATACCTCTGAAGCCACCTCTGTAATCACCAGCCCTTAGGCGGCTGGACAGAGCACCGTCCAATTAGAATCGTACCCTGCCCTACCATAGGCGGCGTTACACGCTTTGCAGCAGGCAAGCGGATATTCCTGAGTACGACGTGGCAACTGGTTGCGACCAGGCGTCGGAAAAGCGGTGACAGTTAGATCGACGATCCCTTTCCGGGCGTCGGACCGAAGAGACACAAGTGCTCTTTGGGCTGTTACAATATTCCTAAATCTGTATTAAGATAGCGTTTCGGTTCCTTTTCGGAAATTCCCATCTTTGGCGAACTCTACCCCTGATCTGGTCGTTACAACACGATTAGTCCCAGGGTTTGCTGCAATCAGCTTCACGGTCCCAGTAGCC